AAGTTTGGCTTATGTTGTCCCACCTGCTAACGATTACACCATGCCAAAGTCAAGGATGAAAAAGTGTTCGAGGAGCAGTTTATCAGTTCGATCTGGTTTATTGTTTTTGCTTCAGGGTCCCTTTAAAATGGATTTTGTTTTCAATCTCTTGAAAGGCTTGTGACTCTGTGGACATTTACGTCGAAACCACGCAGGCCACACGCACCGTCTAACGCTTGCCTGCGAACCTTGTTGCGAAACTTTATCGCCAACTTTGAACAGTGAGTGCTGTTTTGCAATGTAATGAACTGCTTGCGTAAGTGTGTGTTTGTGCACGCGATGTACGAGCCGATTTAATGTGTTTTTGTTTTTGTGATCTGTATCAGAGTTTCGCGATATTGCATTGAACATATGAACCGGTGGGAAGGAGGAGGGGGTGGTGCTGATAAGTAAATCTCTCATTATAATAATGCTTTTCAATTTTTTTTAGTCTGCAGCGCTGCACGGATTTTAGGGCCCTACTGGGAAACGCGATGAGATTAGCACAAGTGATAAATGACCAGCGGAGTAAAATTGTCACCGTCGCAATCTGAATGCTTTCCCCAGGAAAAAAAAAATATTTACGGAAAGACTATTTCCGGCTTTAGGAAGGTATGAATACATTAAGTCATGTCAGCGAATGAGCATTTGTGTTTTTCGCGAAAATGACAAGGTTAATAGAAGAGAATGCATATCTCATGCCGTCCTTTTGTTTTTTTCCTTTATCGATAAATTATGTAGTGCAGATAGGATAAGTGCAATAAACACGCATAATGTGTTGCTAAGCGGCCTTGCCGTGTCTGTACAGAAGATTTTGTATAGATAAGCGTATACATTGGCTGTCGGCTGTGAGGCGATGTTGTAATACTCTATAGATGCTTACGGAACTTCAGAATACAGCTTTGTTTGCTTGCGGTTCGTTGGGTGGAATAAAATAGAATTTGCAATATGTAGTCTTCGCCAAAAGTTTAGAAGCCACGTAGGACGAGCGTGACAGCAGAGCCCTCGATAGCACCTCGACGTCAAAATAACGGTGATGATTACGTTTTATTTTTCGAGGCCACTGTATTGCTGAACCAGTCCTACGCCCGCTAAAGAGGCTCAGAAAAAAAAAAGTACTTAGACGTTCGTGCATGCAACTTTTTTTTGTAGTTATTCGTAAAGAGCTTCAATGATCAAGGCGTAGCATGTTTAATGGACTGGTGTCTGAAAATTTTCGGAAAGCAGCTCTCTCAAAAGTCTGCACGTGTGTGCTGGTTACGCGATCCCCGAGGAATCGCGTTAGTTATTGGCTAGTTGTTTTCGAATTAGGTGTGCTCAAAACGCGATACCAATGTGACACTAAAAAAAGTCTAAAGTCAGCAAGCGTTTTCTTCTATCCGAGAGATATAGGTCGTTAAAGCGGTTCTAATGGTTTACCGTTAAGGCACATTCACACCGAACGCGGCGCGGCAAAGCGGAGGAGGAGGAGGAGGAAAGTTCGAGCGGAAAAACAGGGAGGTTAGCCAGTTCTTAGACCAGCTGGCTACCCTGTGCTGGGGAAGGGGGTGAGGGAAATAAAAGATAACAGAAAGAAATGTTGCGAAGAGAGAGAGAAATTACAAAAAAGTAGCGACAAAGGAAAGGCAACATCAAAGAGTATAAGACACTAAAGTCTGTCTCTGAGGTCAGTCGTCCGCAAAAAAGCGCAGCAAAGCTTTCAAAGCCTTCTGGGCTGAGGATGGGCTCGGCCAATGACCCAGAATCCTTTGTCGCGATGAAGGCCGATCATCCAGTCTTTCCAGAGCTGCAATCAGTTCTTGTCTTGGCGCGTTGAAGTGGATGCACTCGCATAGAAGGTGCGTGCTGGTTTCTTCGCAGCTGCAGTAAGTGCATGTAGAAGACCTGGCCGTTCCAATGAGATAGGAGTATGCGTTTGTGAAGGCCACTCCAAGCCACAGGCGGCATAGAAGAGTCTGCTCAGTCCGAGATATCCTTGAGGGAAGACGAAGCTGCAGATCGGGATCCAAGTTATGCAGGCGCGCGTTTTGTGAATCCTGTCGAGTTTCACCGCACCAGTGGGAGGTCGCGTGCAAGCGAACGAAGTCTAGATTTCCGAAGCGGCGAGTGCGTTCCGCTTTCTGAGTTTCCGCCTTGGCCGCCCCGCCTTCGGTGTGAAAGAGCATTTAATGTCCGAGGCTCTGCCGCCATTGAACATTCGATAGGTCTGACGACAGCTAATAGCTGCTCGCGCTGCATTTCAGTTTATTTCACTCTGTGTTGTTTTTGCTAACTCACATTACATGTGCCGTAAGGCCGGAACGGTCTTGCTTTTTTTTTTGTTTGCAGCTGTTTTAAGACGCTGAAACAGGGCATGAGGTTTACCATTTGCGATAGTGGGTGTACAGCTCGGGTGTACACGTTATGACGCGAAGCGTAGCACCAATTGATCACACAGCGCAAGCACCTCCACGTGTAAATATAGTTGCGTGTAGAACATAGGTGATTGGCGGTTTTAAGAAAAATGATTTGAAATGAGACTTTACATCGCCCTGTAAATAACTCCCTCGCGCGACGCTGTCGTTTGCCTATGCGAGATGGCAGTGCGCGTAAGGGGGCGTGGTTTCAGGTAGATCAGTGGTCACGTATGGAAGCATTTGTGACGTCATCCATCGACACCACGTCACCGGACATTTCGAACCCGTGATGCACTGAAGTTTGCTAGTTACCCTCTGCGGAAGTTTAAATTATTTTCGCTGCGCGAGTTTTCGTTTGTTCCCTTGCATGTGGGTTGTACCTTACAGGTGGGGTCGAAAATAAGCGTCCATGACGTGCGGCCGGCGTCCTACTACTGAATTCGATAGTTCCCAGCATCTAAGTGCATGGCCTTTAAGATAACCGACTTATACTGTGCATCAAGTTGTACCTCCTTCATGGCGCCATTTCTTTATCTGTAAGTTCATAAGAGTTCCTTGCCAGAGTCGCGATGTAAATGTCGCACTGCATTCGCTTAAACATTTCAGATATTCTGGGAACGCGCCTAATGCATGAACTGCTCGGCGGGTGAATTTGGTACACCTTTCTTAGCAAAGTACGTCTCAGCTTTTGTTATAAGTACTCTTGTTCGTATTGCCCATCTTGTCAGAGGAGACGTCGACAATGCTTACTATTCGTTTTTCTCATGATTATCTGATTCTGTTAACAATTGTTTGTAATGCTCTCAAGGTAATAACGTGAAAAAATACAAGATAATTCAGTGCAATTCAAGCTAATTCAATTACAAGGTATTTCACTGTAACATACCGCCAGAACTATGTAGTTATATCACGTAGATTACTGTGTAATTAAGCTTTACTGTACACATACGCTGCCCATAAAGAGCGCACTGGCTTCAACAACATGTACTATACAGTCCACACTCGGAGACCCTGGCCCCGTGTTCCCCTCTCGTTGTCAGTGACTGCTATAGTGCTTAAAGCGTGTCTTCAGAGATCCATGCTGTGGTACGTGCGGGTGTACCGATCTCGGAGAAAATCGTCCCAGCCGATGGTCGCTTCCGTGGTATTTGGTCGTTCACGGGATTTCGGTGGAGCGGCGTGATTTTCACTTTTCATGATATGGACCGGCTCAGGTTTCCTCGGTGAATCGTAATTGCCTTGAGTTGTTACGCCTCTGATAAATATAGCTGCCGTGGCCTTGAGAATATAACCGTCTTCAGTAATCTTCCTTTCGCATGGTATACGGCACCTTGGGCGAGGCTTGAGTTTCCCTGCGATAAGATACACAGCGCGTGAACGGTTTCAAGTATGCTGCCTTAGCGCATGTGCACAACGCGCGAATGTGCTGCTGCGAAGGTCTCAATGCACTGTAGTACCAGTAAATGTAAAAGGTATAACACGGCCTTCTTAGAGAAAAGTGGAGCTGCAATCCAATGGACTCTCGAAACAGAATCCCGTGGAGGTACGCGCAAATTTACCAAATGAAATTTGTCAATGTTTTTCCAAGGGTTCATAATTGAAGTCACTCGCTGTACCTTGAGTCGGGTGCTTCGTCAATGCTGGATTTCGCTGCAATTTTACTTTTTTGTTCTGCTTTTTTTTTCTATGGCGGTGATGAACTGTTGTCTTGAACTTTGTGTGTCCGTTTTTTTTTTCTGTATATCAAGTGACATCTCACTTCGTGGTGTGTCGCGTGTGCCAGTGTGTGTGACAAAATGGCGACTCGCAAATCGAGGAATGAAGGAAAACGAAGGCGGGGCAGAAGAAGAAAGAAGAGAAATAGATGTTATACGATAATTATTATTTAAATAAAAAGTGTTTCCTTTAAGCGAACCAAATGTGTTTTCGTTACTGCCTCTCGTGGAAACTTCGATTGGAGGCCTTTGTATACGAGCGCTTTTCTATCCCATTTAACTTGAAGCTTCGTTCACTGGTGGCCACATTGTTCGCATGGATATTTAGCACAAACTAAAACAGATCAGTGGATCAATCAAGCAGTCAATCAGTGAAATCACTTGTATTTTATTGTCACAGTGAAAAAAAGAAGGCAAGAAAAAAAGTTCACAAACATTAAGATGTTGCCCCATGATGGGGCATTGCTGCCATGCTGCCAGGATGCCAGTATGGGCGATGGCAGCGAATGCGGGGATTCCTTCCAAAGTGACAGTTCAAATAAAATTGCTGGCACATGGCTTTGTGCGCGGTTTTGACACTTAAGCTGAGTCAAAGCGTCGCGCGACGTGTGCCCATCGTCCGTCGTAGGCGTCGCACAACTAAAAAAATTTAAAAAAAACGCACGTGGGCGCACGAGTTCTATGGGCGAATCTTGGTGCGCAGGGGCGTTTATCATCCACCAGAAAAAACAAGGCGCGTAGTCCGGCTAGGTCACGTGCTCTTGGAGCGCAGGGCAACGTACAATAGTCCCGACACAAGTGTTCGGCCATGTGGGAGGCTGGCCATCCTTAACTTCCTTCCAGTGGAACCAACTTCCTTCCAGCGGACCAGCCAGCGGACACCGGCTTGGTCTGACTGTCCCGACGTGGGAGTTGTCCGCCGCGCGCTAATACTTGCCTTGCAGGACGTCAAGAATAACTTTCCACCACTCAGGCTCCCAATCAAGCCACGGCGGCTGACGGAGCCGGTGAACCACTGTCCCGTCGCTAAAGTTGAGCGGGACGTTGACAATCGCGCGTCGAAGGCCGAGCAACCGGAGGCCCTCGCGGATCATGTAGCCGTCCCTGCCCAGCAGGAATGCCGCAGGTATGCTGCAGTTGCGCCGCGTGCCGTCGTTCGTCATTTCCACGTAACCGAAGCCGTTGCCCAGATCGCTGCCTGCCACGATGACGGCCAGCCCTCCGTTGCGCTGCACCTCCACGCACTTGGTGAGAAACGAACAGACGCCGCGCTGGACGAACACCACGTTGTTCCGGATCTCGAGACGGTTGATGAGGTTGTCGCATCCGTGCAGCGGCTCGGACACCACCAGGCCCACGTGCGATAACTTGTTCACGAACGGCGTACCAAACTCGAGCGCCGGCCTGGCCCGAAACGTGTACCTCAGACTCTCGGGGTAAGTAATTTCGAAGATGATGTCCTTCTTCAGATCATAACGCGAATCTGGCTTCGCCACTGCAGTGGCGAGGAGGCACCAGGACGCCAGCAGTGGAACCACCGCACTCGGCGAAGGTCTCCCGCGCATTGTAGAGATTCTGCCCCGTCAACGACTGTTGCGACACAAAAGCCGTTCTGAGCCGTGCTTTTAAGCCGTCCTCATCGTCTTTGCACCGTTCACGTGAGGAGCGCGCGCGAGTTTTGCGCTGATGGTGGCGCCGAGCCAAACGAAGCTACGTCACGCGATAAACTTGGTTCTAATCGCGTCGAACCACGTCACGCTCTGCACAGATACAGGCAAGCCGTGCACGGGCACTAGCACCGTGTCCTTTAAACGGATGTTATTCTTACATCTCAAGGTGTTAACTACAGTGAGGTCAGCAAATGTCGAATGCACCAACCCAATCAATATCACGTGGATATGCCCACCATAGCACTTTTCGTTTAGTTCTTCGAGATAATCATCATCAGCCGGAGTACGCCCACTGCAGGACAAAGGCCTCCCTCATGTCCTCCCAGTCAACTCGGTCCTGTGCCCTGCTGCCAATTATGACCACAAACTTCCCAATATCGTCTGCCCACCTAACTTTCTGTGTCCCCCTCACCCAGTTGCCTTCTCTGGGAATTCAGTCGGTTGCTCTTACCCCCGTATTCTAGAACGTCCCTTCACTCAACGCTTCACCTTCACTTAAGGAAGCCGATGGGAGTGCCTTCTCTGGGCACGGCAAGTCACTGTATATATCAGCGATAATCTGCTGCGATTCTTGAGTAGCGCAGCGTCATTTTCAGCCGAGTGGTGGCGCATCACTTGAATGATTTATATCTGGGGTTTAACGTCCCAAAACCACCATATGATTATGAGAGACGCCGTAGTGGAGGGCTCCGGAAATTTCGACCACCTGGCGTTCTTTAACGTGCACCCAACTCTGAGTACACGGGCCTACAACATTTTCGCGTCCATCGGAAATGCAGCCGCCACAGCCGGGATTCGATCCCGCGACCTGCGGGTCAGCAGCCGAGTACCTTAGCCACTAAACCACCGCGGCGGGGCAAAGTTAGAAGAAAAACCTAGCACCAAGGATGCAGTGGGGCTCGAACTATACACTGGATGCGGCGCATTGCTCAACTCTGTCAAGTGAAGGGTGGAAGTCGAGTCGAGGAGCGTTTGTGAACACGGGGGTGAATGACCAGCGGTCATCCTGCCTCCACGCTACGTGGCAGGCCCATGTCCATTTCTTCTTCTGGTTTCTTCCAGCTATGATATCCTTCTTCTTCCTCCAGCTATGATATCCTTAACCCTGGCAAACGCCCTGACCCACTCCTCTCTCTTCTTGCCTCTTAAGGTTACACCTCCGTTTTCCTTTCCATCGCTCGCTGCGTCGTCTTCAGTTAAGCTGAACCCTCTTTGTAAGCCTCCAGGTTTCTGCTCCGCAGGTAAGTACCGGCAAGATGCAGCTGGTATATGCCTATACCTCTTGAGGGATAGTGGGGATCTACCAGTAATGATTTTAGAATGCTTGCCGAATGTTGTCCACACCATACGTATTCTTCTAGTTCAATCTCGTGGTTCGGCTCCGCGGTTACTACCTGTCCTAAGTAGGCGCACTCGTTTACGACTTCCAGTGCACTGCTACCTATCTCGAAGCGCTGTTCTCTTCCGAGGTTGTTGTACATTACTTTCGTTTTCTGCAGATTAATCGACATGTGCAAGATAGGAAACATTAATCTGAAGAGCCCATTAATGGGCCACTGAAACATATATCCGTAGCATAGATTATCGAGAACTCCTGAAAACTGCGCTATATGACGGAACATAGAACGAAGCAACAAGCGCACGCGCTGACTAGCAACGAATCTATTTCGCCATAGTGAAACATGTACTCGCCAAAAAAAGGAAAGTGGGGCGAAGGAACTCGCCAATGGAAGCTGAAAGTTGCATCTTAGAAGCTGTAGATGACTTCTCTAACAGAACGGGTAAGAGCTAGGCAACAAAGGTATAAGCCATGTCGCTCCTACTCTCGCTGAGGCTGACCGAAAATGGCTGTTCTCAGGTAAATAAGGTGGCTTCGTTGTGGCTTCTTCCAAGTGGATAGAATGAAAAAGCGATGAAAGGCAGCACACTTTCATTCCCACCCTGCATGTATACTATCGATAGTAAAAGTTTGCGGCCCCGCCACGGTGGTCTAGTGGCTAAGGTACTCGGCTGCTGACCCGCAGGGCGCGGGTTCAAATCCCGGCTGCGGCGGCTGCATTTCCGATGGAGGCGGAAATGTTGTAGGCCCGTGTGCTCAGATTTGGGTGCACGTTAAAGAACCCCAGGTGGTCTAAATTTCCGGAGCCCTCCACTACGGCGCCTCTCATAATCATATAGTAGTTTTGGGACGTTAAACCTCACATATCAATCAGTAAAAGTTTGCGAGATGTGTCGTGCGCGCCGCCACGGGAAACTGCATTGCTGCGCCACCTACCCTAACCTGCACCCTATTGTTGTAGTTATCAGCCATGTCTTCTAAGATTAAATGCAGCGTTCGCAATCTCCGAGGCCGCGTACGACGCCGTGTCACCGTAGACGGCGCAGCAACGCAGTTTGCCCCCGCTTCGCTACACGCTGCACATCCCGCCAACTTTTGCTGTCGACTGTATACATGCACTGATGAACATAAACAGTACATGCACTGATTAACATCAGAAATGATGCACTGAAGCAGTGAGTATAGAAGCGATTTCGAAAGACTTGCGTCGTCCATAGAGAATGCCAAAGAATTATGCGTGAGACCATTTTTCTCGGTCGAAACCCTTTTTCGTCTAACAATCGCTGAACGAGGAACTCGGCAGACGTCACGTCGGACGATTTCGGCAGATTTTCTTGACGTTGCTCACCCCACGTGAGCCCTTCATGGCTCGAAGCACAGCTCAAGTCTCGAAATACGTCTGACACCGAAGCCCTATGCAGAAGTGAGTGAATTGTCGATAGACATCAAGGATATTTATTTTTTCTTACCACTTGAAGTGCTCACAGACGTTGTTGAAAAAAGCATAGAAAGCAGCGGAAGGGTGAGTTTTCAGATTGCTACTTTGACTGCCGCAAAAATATTACTTTGACTTTTGAAGTCCAAGGAAATACTTTTTCTACATAGATATATTCAAGGGGATTACTTTGCCCCGATCACAGATGGGTGTATCGGCGTCTGCCTCACTTCGGTCAAAAGCGACTTGTTGGCGAGACGTCAAAAAGAATGAGCCGTCATCCTCGCGGGTAGTCCTGTACTGTGAGGGTGTGCCGTTATGTGGGCGAGATTTTGATTATTTCAGAGTACACCACGTCTTCAGATGCACCAGCACAGGTGAAGTTCATCCTGAAGTCATTTGAATCAACCTTGAAGGGATTTAAATTGTGAACGGACGAGTCCAACGATGGTCGCCTCGGGCTACTCGGTCTAGCTAACCCTGCGCCACGTACGCCTGTATACTAGACGTACTGGCCCCACTAAAGAAAAAATTATTAGCGTCTTCGCCAGCTTAATCAAAGGTTGTCCCCCAAGAGGGTATTGCATTATCAAAGCTTAGGAATGCCCTTAACTGATACTGCTCACACCGAATGTGGGTTAGTTTTTTTTTTTTTTTGCGCAGGCTTGTATTTGAAAAAGGCCATATTTCCCACACCTATGTTGTTCTGACTGTGCTTCTGAAAGAGGCGGAGACGAAAATTAAAGGGACACGAAGGTTAGTCAGAAATGCGAAAGAAATTTCGCGAAAAAAAACCGCGAACAAGCCTAATGTCATTAAATGGAATAATTACAGTCGTATACGTTCATGGTGTATCCAATCTACTAAAAAAGGCTGCAGCTCAATTCACTCTCGATCTTTAGGGCACCCAGCAAAGAAGAAACAAAAAGGAACTAGTAGGCTTCGTGGCAAAGTGAACGTCAATCTGCTGCAAGAAGCAGGCACTGCGTTTCGTCGAATGCCGATCGGAAATGGTGTACGACGTAACGCTATCTTGCGGAGAGTGATGCACCGGGCAAGCAGTTCTTATAGCACAAATGATCACGGCGAGAACACGTGGGAATCGTAAAGAATGGAACGGATTTGCTCTGCGTTGCGTTGCATCGTGCGACTTGTGATTGCGTCACATTAGGGAGTTTTAGAATAGCGCACCGCGAGCCCTTGCGGTGCGGTCGCTGCCACTGCGCATGCGTCGTAACGCGAGTCTGCGTTCGCGTTCGTGGAACGCACGCAAAAAAAAAAAAATCCGAAATCGCGTGCGGTAATGGCGGCTCGCATGTGGCCCGCAAGCGCTGGTTTCGAGGCTATGGTGTCGCTGCGATCGTGCGTTGCGGATCGCAGCAGGGTAAACGCTATTCTAAAACTCATACGGCGCCCGCAACGCCCGCAGCGCTTGCAAACGGTATTCTAAAACTCCCTATTACCGTCGTACATGTGTTCTGAAAAGATACAAGAATCAATGCGCCAGAGAGATTACTCGAGGCTCACGTGATTCACAGATGCAGTGACTCATCGTAAGCATAGCTTCCGTATGCTTGTTGTAGAAAGGTCTTGGATATCTTAACCACTAACTGCAATCTTGGTGCATGCGCAGTAAAGGGACATTCGTAATCATGTTTTATTTTTCCTTCTTTTTCAAAGGGCATATATTATGCTGCGGAGAACAAAATATTGTTGTCATTAGTGAGCTCTTGGTCTTGTCGCTACTACCTTCGTAATTTCGACTACTATCTTCGTCAGAAGTTCAGTTCGCCCCGACGTCGTCCCTAAGGTCACGACCTCTACAATGTGGTGGTTAGATTAGTTGCGCACCTGCCACAGTGGCAGGTGCGCACCAGCTGCCACTGTGGTCCAGTTGTTATGGTGCCAGAGTGCTTGACCATGCAGCAGGTGTTGAATCCTGGCCGTGGCTGCCGCATATTTTCGATGCCCTTCAAGTTTCCGCAGCCCTCCACTATACAGCGTCTTTCACAATCATATCGAGGCACCGGGACGTTAAACTCCAACGCCTTATTACATACCGTTTAGGCGCAGCAAACCACACCAGTTCGATTTTCGCGAGTATCGACATACACATGCGAACGCGCCTTTTCGCTACCCAAACCCGCGCA